ATTTGATTTTTAAATGTTTTGACAATTACGATGATGCTTTATGCTGCAGAAAAATGCTCTGCCAGACATGCAGTGTTTTAAAATATTATCTTCCACACTTTCCCTCTTTTCCTGTATCTTCCTGTGTCTTGCCTTATCTTCTGAGAGAATACACAGGATACTTTTTTAAATGAAAACGTTTTTTTCTTCAACAGTTTATTTAAGTCTGGCATAATACCATTTCTTTTACCTGATTAAAATAAATTTGGACTTAGAATTTGAACCCACCTTCAGAGGAAAATGGCACCTTTTTCAATAAAGTCCATTTCCCATGGATTTGGAATGTATTACTTGTAAAAAAAAAAAAAAAGAAAACCAGAAAGCAACATTAATATTTCTATTCACCTAATTTCAAAATTCATGGTGTTAGAAACTTTCCTTGTGGATATAATTAAAACTCTATATAGAAATATAAATTTATTCAAGCAAATTAAAAGGTATACTTCAGGGCCTGTTAATAATAGTTACATGTATTCTAGAAAGCGGTAAATAATGCATAAATTATTTATGCATTAGCAAATTTGACAAATGTAGTATTGGACTTGACTGTCTTAACAGAAACCCACTGCAGATCTTAAATTTAACTTCTCAGACTATAGCTGTCAAAAGGTAAGTATTGCTTCTATTTTCTCATTGTCATTTTTCTTATTGTTTAGTTGCTAAATTGTGTCCAACTCTTTGCAACCCCATGGACTTTAGTCCACCAGGTTCCTCTGACTATGGGATTCTCTAGGCAAGAATACTGGAGTAGGTTGCCATTTCCTTCTCCAGGGTGTATTTCTGACCCAGGGATCAAACTTGCATCTCCTGCATTGGCAGGCAGAGTCTTTACACTGAGCCACCAGGGAAGCCCCCATCTTCTCATGAAGTGAAGTGAGAGTTGCTCAGTCGTGTCTGACTCTTTCAACCCCTGGACTACACGGTCCATGGAGTTCTCCAGGCCAGAAAACTGGAGTGGGCAGCCTTTCCCTTCTCCAGGGGATCTTCCCAACCCAGGGATCGAACCCAGGTCTCCTGCACTGCAGGTGGATTCTTTACCAGCTGAGTCACAAGGGAAGTCCACAAATACTGGAGTGGGGAGCCTGTCCCTTCTCCGGTGGATCTTCCCAATCCAGGGATCGAACCGGGGTCTCTTATTATTTTCTCATAAGTTCCCATAAAATTCCCTTCCCCCCCCTTTTTTTTGCTATGAATTATTAATACTCTACAGTGTCTATTTAAAGCAAGTACCAAATACATATCTGATGAAAGACTGTGGAATAAATAAACTTGTTAAAGAGAAATCTTTTAAAGAAATAAATAATAAGCAGTACATAATATTTCAGCATGTATGGCTACTTGAAAGTACCAGTGAAAACTAAATCTACCCCCAAAATTCAAAGATAACTAGTTAAGTGAGAGCAAAAATTTACACATGAAGAAGAGAAAGAAACAAATAATGCCAAAAATTTTGACAAGAGCACAGTGAGTAGGAATTGGAGAGGAGTCTAGCTCCAGCTATTATTTTTTGTGCTACTTTGGTTGTCGTTGTTTTAGCCTCAGAAGCCTCATTTCTTAGATGACAGGACTGAATCAAACAACATCCAAGGCATGTTTTGCCTACACAATAATAGTGAGGCTGCTCATATGGTATTTGAATGGATATGGATTGAACAGGGAAGTAAAATGAAACTAGTCTGTTGGTTATTTTCGACAGAGGATTTGTATAAGGAAGCATTCAGTCTCTACATATTGTTTCAATTAACAGTTATCTAGTTTTGTATTGGTTTTCTTCCTAGCCCAAAATGCTTATGTTTAGAGAAAATATACCATAGTAGAAAGTACATGAGCTTTGGACACAGTCAGAATTAGGATGAAATCCAGGTTTTGACATACTTTTAGAAATTGTGGCAAATTAATCTCTCAGATTTTAAATTTCTTTATCTGAAGATAAAGGTAATTCCTACATCATATAGCTCTTTTGAGAGCGCAATATATGTAGTTGTTAAGTGTATGTATGTGCCTGAAATATCAAGTGCATGCTACATATACCGTTGGATTTCAACATATGATCTCTGTGATACTGTAATAAGAGCCTACCCATGGACTCTTAATGCTGACACATACACAGAAACAGCATCTACAGCAGAAGCATGTAAATTAAGGAGACATGGAGTTTTATAGCTGCAAGAAAACTTGAGGTTTAAGGTAAAGGTAAAGATAAAAAGAGAAACTATAAAAGTAAGTTTTTATTAAACTAAGAGGAATTTATAGGTGAGTAAATTGAAGATATTATATCAGCTATTTCAAGAGTTTTGAAGCATACATTTTTACATTCCATTCTTGGAAACTGAGACAGCCAGGATTATTTTAAAAATTATGCCATTAACACTATGATGTCAGAAAAATATTGATCAAATAATGAGATTTCCATTTTTTTATTCCTTCAACATGTGACAAGTTATCAGTCAAATACTTAAAGAGTAAATGTCAAAGGCATAAAAAGTTCATTAATATGGAATATTTTTAATCCATGAAAGATTTTTCTCAAACCAGAATATTTATATTAATTATGAGAAATAATGACATTGTATTATTTTTGAGTTCAGTCATTACTAGCATAAATCAGATAAAACCCACTTTCTCGCAAATAGACTTCAATATAAATTTAATGCTCATAGCAGAATATACTAGAGTGGAAAATAAAATCGAACAATAGAACAAAGTTATTATTTCTAAAATAGAATAAAAGTGAAAGGAGAAAACAATAATCAAGAGAGCATGACAAACACTACTGCACTAAATGTTTTTCATGGATTAATTTGTAGACTGTTTTATAGCAAGAGGTAGCGCTAGTGGTAAAGAACTTGTCTGCCAAAGCAGTAGATGACAGAGACTGGGGTTCAGTCCCTGGTTTGGGAAGATCCCGTGGAGGAGGGCAGGGCAACCCAGTCCAGGATTCTGGCCTGGAGAATCCCATGGCCTCAGGAGTTTGGTGGGCTACGGTGCATAGAGTGGCCAAGAGCTGGACACGACTGAAGCGACAGTTTTCTCCTGGTGTCTCAGCAGCTAATGCATTAAAGCTGGCACCAGGTGTCACTATAGGCCGAGTGACTTCAGTAAGTATGTATAACTGAATGATTTTAAAGGACACTTACTCGACTTCATGGAATATATTGTTAACTTTGCTCCAAATTAAAAAATTTTTTTTAATTTGTTATGTTATATTTTTTTTTATATTTTATATTTTTAAATATAAAATTTATATTTTATATTAATTATATATATATACATTTATATTTTATATTTTTGCCTAAAATTTTTCATATTTGTCTAAATTATATTTTATTTCTTAAAAACTTCCATTATAGCTGACATTTGACCTGTAATGGTCAAATTAGGGATTACAGTTAGGAAAAATATCATATTGCATACCAAATAAAAGTGAATTCAAACTTTGAATCATAAGAAGATATTAATGTGAAAATTATCTAATAGGTAAAGCAAAAACTTTTAGTTGCTCCTTAGGATTTTAGCAATAACAAAATTTTTGAATTTCTAGCTATAGATTTCTATCTGTTAAATATAAACTGAATTTCGAAAGTTAACATGGAATACACCATATAAATATTTAACGTAGTTCTTCTTAATCATACCACATTGATAAAAATATTAATGTGAAAGTTAACTAATCAGGTAGGATTTTAGCAAAAACAAAACTTTCCAATTTCAAGCTACAGACTTTATCTATTAAATACATAAATCAAATTGCCAAAATTAACATGGAAAACACCTTATAAATATTAAGAGATAGTTTTCTTGATCTTTGGGGCTTCCCTGATAGCTCAGTTCTTGATTATGAATCAGATCAAACTACTGTGTTTCTTTTAATTAGCACAACAGCTACAAAGATCCAGTTCCAGTTTCAGTTCAGTAGCTCAGTCGTGTACAACTCTTTGCAACCCCATGAACTGCAGCACGCCAGGCTTCCCTGTCCTTCATCAACTCTCGGCGCTTGCTCATACTCATGTCCATTGTGTCAGTGATGCCATCCAACTATCTTATCCTCTGTCATCCCCTTCTCCTCCTGCCTTCAATCTTTCCCAGCATCAGGATTTTTTCCAATGAATCAGTTCTTCCCATAAGGTGGCCAAAGTATTGGAGCTTCAGCTTCAATATTAGTCCTTCCAATGAATATTCAGGACTGATTTCCTTTAGGATTGACTGGTTTGATCTCCCTGGAGTCCAAGGGACTCTCAAGAGTCTTCTCCAACACCACAGTTCAAAAGCATCAATTCTTCAGTGCTCAGCCTTCTTTATAATCCAACTCTCACATCCATACATGACTACTGGAAAAACCATAGCTTTGACTAGATGGACCTTTGTTGGCAAAGTAATGTCTCTGCTTTTTAATATGCTGTTTAGGTTGGTCATAGCTCTTTTTCCAAGGAGTAAGCATCTTTTAATTTCATGGCTGCAGTCACCATCTGCAGTGATTTTGGAGCCCAAGAAGATAAAGTCAGCCACTGTTTCCATTGTTTCCCCATCTATTTGCCATGAAGTGATGGGACCAGATGCCATCATCTTAGTTTTTTGGATATTGAGCTAAAAAGGTAGGACTTCCCTTTTGGCTCAGCAGTAAAGAAGCTGCCTGCCAAGGCAGGAGATGTGGGTTCGATCCCTGGGTTGAGAATATGCCCTGGAGAAGAAAACGGCACCCCACTCCAGTATTCTTGCCTGGAAAATCCCACGGACAGAGGAGGCTTCTGGGCTGCAGTCCATGGGGTCACAGAGAGTTGGGCACAACTTAGTGACTAAGTAACAACTACAAAGATATTTAGGTAGGTTGCCACATGGTTCTCAAATATTTCATACAATGTTTCAGTGGGATTTCTTTTGATCCTGTTAGAAATACCCTGCCTTTCCTAGAAGAGAAACTTGGTACTAACTCAGGAAAGAGAAGCATCACCTAATTTACTCACCTGTAGAATGTGCGGCTTGAAAACCTTTTCTTTGAACAGACGCGTCAGAGACAAACCGAATAAACATGTTATTTCCAGTAGCCACAAGCGGCTCTGGTATCTTGTTCCCACACAGTCGTCCAAGAACTGGTGATTTTTCTGTTTCTCCATCAAATACTTCCAAGTGATCATAAGCACATTCTTGATGCTGCTCAATCTCAAATTCAGTAAAGGCCTATTAAGAAAGAAAAAAAGAACATTTATAAAGCCACATATCACTCAAAATGGGTTCTTTTCTTTGCAGCAGAAAGAGAAAGACAAATACTATATATTAATACATATACAAGGAATTTAAAAAGACAGTACTGACAATCCTATGTGCAGGACAGCAAAGGAGACACAGATGTAAAGAACAGACTTTTGAACTCAGTGGGAAATGGCGAGGGTGGGACGATTTGAGAGAATAGCATGGAAACATACATATTACCATATGTAAAATAGATGACCAGTGTAAGTTCCATGCATGAAGCAGGGCACCCAAAGCTGGTGCTCTGGGACAACCTAGAGGGATAGGGTGGGGAGGCAGGTGGGAGGGGGCCTCAGGATGGGGGGGAGACATATATACCTGTGACAAATTTGTGTTCATGCATGGCAAAAACCATCACAGTATTGCAAAGTAATTATCCTCCAATTAAAATAATTAATTAATTAATTGAAAAAATATTTTCAGGTTTGAAAATCATTCAATCCATCTGGCACATTATTGAAAAGGGTTGTGAAATCAATAGAATATAGAGTCTAGGAAGACATAATGAGGAAAACAATGTAATAATATCATGTGAAATTCTATTTGACTATTGCAACTAATTATACTACTGCAATTAAGTCTACTCCAGAAATTAGACAGACTATAATAGCAAACTGATACTTTATTCTGAGATTGTAACTCTTAATAAAACAATAAGAGAAAATCAGCTTAACTTCATCCAGAGGGTTTTTTCTTTTTTAGCTAAATATGAAACCTAACTTCTAAATACTAAGAAAAATATTCTATAAAGGGAAATAACACCTGAAAACTGTTGCATGTCAAATAATTGTCTCTTTGGAATGGACTTTGGAAGCATTCATCTATCAATATAAAGAGCAAAGAAACCCACTGTGTAGAAGAGAAAACTTTAAGAATGATGGGAGTAATGACATTCTAAAGCTTATCCTATAAGTAAAAGTTAAAAATAGGATCAGAATTTACAGACCACAGGTGTGGTCCATTGATTGGTCCATTGAAAATGAAGTGAATGATATAACTAATGGGCTACTTCAATCTCTAGTGAAATGCAGGATGTCTGAAGTAAATCATAACATCCGTTTTACAGAACAGAGCAATACCACAGAAGGTGGCATTGAGCTAGTGGGCTAGGGGCTATGTTGACACTTGGTTGGAACCAACTGACTTCAGGTTTTTATCAAATTACTAACAGAATCTGACTGATTTTGTAAGAGTCAGATAAAGCAGTTTGTGTAGCTGATACATTCTCAGTAATGCAAATAACTCATTAATTAAAGTATTGATTAATTTTCCCCTCGGAATTAATAGCAGCTTGTAAGGTCAGTTGCAAAGATTGGGTGGTCCTTTTCCAGAAGCCAGCTTAACCCAAATGCTCTACCACACACAAGCAAAACATGACTAATTCACATGCTGAGATCTCATAAATCTGCCCTGTAATATGCTAGAGACATACATGTAGAGACATCTCCACATATAGTGGCTTTGCGTTAATATGAAATATTTCTAGGCCATAAAATGGAGTCCACGGAAAAACGGAAAATTTTTAAAAAACTGACTTTAGAATCCCCAAAGGTAAAGTAAGATACACAATTTATTGTTTTTTACTCTATCACACATTCTGAGGCCTGGATCTCTATGTCTAAATGATGCAGAATGTGAAAATTTCCAGTCACCAGGAATCAATGCCATGGAAGTGTGCTTCCCGAAGACACTTAGATTCTCAAAAAAAAATTCCCCCCAAATCCTTCAAATTTACAATGAAGACAGGACAGAAAAGTTGATGTGTGGAGCTATAAGTAAGTCTGATTTCTGCTGAAACACTGCCCTCATTTCGGGGGAATTTTAAATACCTTTCTTAAGCAACTGCAAGACGGTTTGGTATTCAAACACTTAAACCTTATTCACTCCATTATTATACTTCTATGACTTTAAGGTTAACGATCAGTGTTTTAGAGAGACCAAAATGAGTGAGTAGTAAGAAATTCTAAATCATTGAAAGAGAATCATTCAAAAGAAACAAAATTACCATTTCATTTTAAGCTCTGGAAAGAATAACTGTGTTTTTTGGAACATCCAAGCAAACCTAATCTACCTTCCTAGCTTCCAGCCAGGCTTCCACACACAACCCCTTCACATGCACATTACTTTGCCAACAAGTGTCCATATAATCAAAACTCTTTTTTTCCAATAGTCCGATATGGACGTGAGAGCTGGACCATAAAGAAGGCTAAGCACTGAAGAACTGATGCTTCTGAACTGTGCTGTTGGAGAAGACTCCTGAGAGTCCCTTGGACTGCAAGGAGGTCCAACGAGGCCATCCTAGAGGAGATCAGTCCTGGGTGTTCAGTGGAAGGACTGATGTTGAAGCTAAAACTCCAATACTTTGGCCACCTGATGCAAAGAGCCAAGTCATTAGAAAAGACCCTGATGCTGGGAAAGATTGAGGGCAGGAGGAGAAGGGGACGACAGAGGATGAGATGGTCGGATGGCATCACCGACTCAATGGACATAAGTTTGCGTAAATTCTGGGAGTTGGTGATGGACAGGGAGGTCTGGCGTGCTGCAGTCCGTGGGGTTGGAAAGAGTTAGAATAAATGAGTGACTGAACAACAACAACAACAGAGAGGTACTTTTGCCTGAAAAAGTACTCTTGTCTGAAAATCTCTTGGACAGAGGAGTGTGTCGGGCTACAGTCCATGGGGTAGCAAGAGTTGGACACAACTTAGAGACCCAACCACCCCCATAGGTACTTTCACTGAAAGAACAAGCACTAGCTAAAGGATAAGGCCACTCGAAGTCTCTACATACATTCAGAGAGGACAAGACAATAAAATAATAGTGCTTGATGTGGAAATAAAATGTAGCCAGGGCGACTATAAACTTAGAGAATTAAAGAGACTGATACAATGTGAGCAGTTGTGAAATGAAATTCAGACCTCCCTCATTCTATCCATCCTTTGCATTTTCCTGTCTTAGATGAGAACTTTGGTTCTCATCATTTGGTTTTCCTCAAGATATTGGAAGGATTAGAGGCCGCTGGAAAACAATGGCACAATTGAATTAAACCCCAGTCTTCTGACAACAGTGATCAAATACACTTATAACGGATTTATGGTGGAGAATTATATATCACTGTGAGTGTTTTGTTTTCTAAATATCCCACACATGAAGCTGTAAACTACAACTTAGCAAAGCTTGGATACAATACATAAAATTATAATGGTACAAGTATATTAGCCTATTGCTATGTGATCCTATGCCTAGATCTTTTTTCAGTTGTTTAAATTTTTTTTAAGTGTAGAGTAATTAAGAATATGAAAAAACTACAAAAAATTTAATGATCAGTAGAGACTTTCAGAACAAAGACATGGTAAAGCCAGGAATGATAGAACACTATCCCTTTATTCATTCAGAAATTTATCCCTTTTCTAAAAGGAAGACTTTTTCCAAGTATCTTTCAGCCAAGGTTTCTTTTACTTTAAAAATATTATGATGCAGTTAGCATTTAATGATTAACACACACACACAAATACAAACTCCAAAAACAATGTAAATATATTTGCTTCCTCCAGCAAATTTGCTCCAGGAAATTACCACACACTTAGTGGCTCAATACAATACACTTTTATTGTGCTAGAACTGTGGAAGTCAGTGGTCTAAAGTGGGTGAGGAAGCACTATGCTGTTTCTGGGGGTCCTTGATGTGAATCTGTTTCCTTAGATTTTCTTCAGCATCCAAAGGCTTCCCTCATTTCTAGGCTCATGTCTGCTTCCTCCATCTTCAGATCCAACAGTATAACACTTGGCTCCCTCTTGTAAGGACCATTAAGATTACTTCAAGCCCATCTAGATATTCCAGGATAATCTTTTCATCTGAAGACCTTTGATTTAACCACAGTGACTTTTGACATATAAGATAATGTATGCAAAGTTTCTGAGAATTAAGAGATGGTGATCTTTGGAGGATGGGGAGTATCATTCTGCCTACCATAGGAAGTAAAGTCAAATACTTTCACCCACTGTGATTTTCAGGGGAAATGAGGGCAAACACTTATAATTACATGATTTCAAACCTTTTTATATGTGAATTTCTTAGTTCAAGTCAGCAAACTAAGTCCCACAGAAGGAATCTGACATGAAGCCTGTTTTTTAATAATTAAACTTTTTCTGGGACACAACTATGTCCATTAGTATGTTGACTGGCTCCACCCATCAGCACACAGGGTGCTTAAAGTCTTCCTGAGCCCACAGCCAACTCTGGACACAGCCCTGCCCAGCAGAGGGCCAGCTCTACCTATCAGAGAACAGAGAACAGACGCAAGAAAGTCACAATCCTATAACCTGTGGGCCTAATCTGTCACAGTAGGCCAAACCCTGCCCTGGGGCCAGCCTGACCCCAGCCCACTAGCAGGCCGGCACAAACTCCTGGACATCCCAAGAGTCTGTACCCACTTGTTTCAGGAACTGCCCCCACTCCTCCTACCAGTGACCTAATACCAACTCTGGGATTCCTGGACCCTGGAACCAGAGTCCAGGGCCTGACTCTGCCTGCCAGTAGTCCTGCACTAACACCAGGACAGGTTTCACCCACCAGCGGGTGGGCTACAACCCTGAAGTCTTATGGACTCTTTCCATCAGTGAGCCAGCTCTAGCCTTGGGCCACCCTGGATTCTGCAGCTGGCCTCCTTATGGCCAGGCCCCTGTGTGGAACAGCCAGCAGCCTCCATACAAGGCAGGTCCAAGCAATCAGCCAGACCCAGGGTCAACCAAGCCTAACAGGCCACCCATATATTCAACCTGCCACAACTAAAAGACTCACACAGTCCTAACAGGGAGATCCCCTAGAGCATATAGTTTGGGTGATGAGAAGGGAGTGCACTGCTGAGACACACAGGACACCTCCTGCAAATGGTCACTTCTCCAAGATCAGGAAACAGAACCAAACTATTA